TGGAGGAATGTCCCCAACTCGCCGAATGGCGAGTAAGTCCCGATTTCCGACATCGTAGTTACGTTCAGCAGATGAGAGGCGGTGAGAGAAAAAAGCACAAGGATGTACTTTACCGTCAGCGGCGGAACGTTGGGAGAGCACAGTTTTTACCACTTTGCCTGTTTTTAATGCAATAACCCTTTAAATTTTTATTTTAAGCTCATTTGTATTATTATTATTACTGTTATTATTATTATTATTTAACTATTATTATTAATTATATGGACTATGCATTGCATATATTGCAATGTATTGAACAATATAAATATTAAATCCTATATATGGGAATATATTGCCTAATATATCACATGGTATAATCCAATATACTGCAATATATTTTTGTTTTGTAAGGGAGGATAGACCTCTAATAGGTTCTTTTCATTTGTGTTTGTCCAAACAGACAAAACAAAGCTTACTACAGTATGTGGGTTTGATTTGTGGGTAGTGTCTTCTGTTTGATCACAACACCCATTCTTATTGTGTTGATCAGTTGAGTGATTAGGTCCAATAACAGACACCCATTCTGATACTGTGATGCTTGATGAACCACATATCTCATACTGTAGTGCAGGTCCAATACACAAACTCCTCTTGCTGAAAGACAAACTAACGTCCCTCTGGAGCTGCTATCAATTGGAGAATTGCTATCAATATTTTATCAAACTGCTGCTTGCATGGTCAACATCAAAGACATAACTCTTGTTTAAAGCATACATTGTTTTTTTTTTTTTTTTTTTTTTTTTATTGGATCCTAAACTATAGTTTTTGCCTTAGAAACACAAGGAGAAGTTAAAAAAACTCTAAAACATCTGTCTGTCTTTTGGACAGATACTGTAGGAGAGGGTTAAATGCAGGCAACAAATAAATTAACATCCGATCAGTTATCAAAGTCAATTTAGTTTCCAAATCATGGTATGGATTGATTTTATAGCTCAGAAATTGCTCAGCTCAGCTCAATTTGATCTGCACACTTTCATGATGAAAGACAACTGCACAGACCCTGACAGACCTACATCATACAATGGTCTGAAGTGGCTACCCCCCAATTAATTGTTGTTTGTGGTCTCCAGCATGCAGGACCACAGGAATCTCAAACTCGTCATCACATCGGCCTGTGTGTGTGCACGTAACTCTGAGGAGAACAGAGACAAATGAAACTGGTCGTCCATCACACACACACTTATCATAGTGCAGGTAACAGACACAGGTGGCAGAATGACTGAGATTAAATAGTTTGAGAGAAATGTCAGAGAAAGATTCTATATGGGGATGAGTAGATAAGGGCGGCTAGAAATAGCACTGCAGTATGGAAATGACTAGGTGCCAAACCAGTTGAGAGCTTATGTAAAGGTGTTGGGGAACATAATATCACTCTACCCTGAGAATATATATATAATAATAATAATAATAATAATACCTTTTATTTATAGGCGCCTTTCAGGGCACTCAAGGACACCGTACAATATAAAACAATATAAAACAATATATATATATATATATATACTGTATATACATAGAGAGAGAGAGAGAGAGAGAGAGAGAGAGAGAGAGATGACAGAAATTTTCAAAAACTGCCTTTAAATTTGACCAGTTAACCTGTAACACTCAGAACAGATGATTTGGCTTCATGAGATTTAAGAATACAACATATGTACATCTGAATAGAAGTCATATGGACTATGAAAATAGCAGTGTGAAGTTTTTTCAAAGCATCACCTTTTGTTCTCTTTCATCATCTCGTGTTCGAGATCCACCTATGGGAAGGGCATCCGTACCTGACCTCTGCAGAAGCATCCAATTGCACCAAGTCTGGCTAGACAGACAGAAGCGCGCGGCCAATGCCCGATGAGGCCACACCCCTCACCCACGGGCATATAACATCTGGGCGCGCTGCTATTCCTCAGTTGTCATTCGCTTCTCGCGATCTCTGCAATTCTCAGCTCGGTTAGTTTTTACTCTGCTCACCTCGTGTCTACAGGAGGACATATCGGCCTGATCAGCCTCCACCGGACGTGGCAGATTAAATTCAACTGCTGTTGCGCATTCGGAGCTTTTTCTCACCGTTCTACAACACGGCTGCTCGCCACGGTTTTCTCCCTCGCTATGTCTCTGTCTAAGCCTACGGCATCATCTGGGGATAGCTTTTCACGGGCCTGCCCGGCCGCGTGTGGAGCCCTTATCGCAGCTAAAGACCTCCACCAGCTTTGCGTTGTCTGTTTGGGTCCTAAGCACGCTCGGGAAGCCCTTGAGAACCCAGACAACTGCAGTTTCTGCCTCTTGCTGCCGAGGAAACTGCTTAAACGTCGATTCAAGGTAGCAGTGACACAGTGCTCCGAGCTCAGCCCCACGGGCTCAGACTCGGACGGGGGACACGGTGATGACGACGCGCCACCGAGGGCCTCTCGGGACGCTTCGTCGCTCGTCTGGGCTGACCAGCCCAATCCCGCCTTCCCCGAGGAGGACATCTTCGGGGATAACCTCGCTCTCGCCCACGAACCGGCCGGTTCTGGCGAAGAGGAGGATGCGGCCATTCTTGGGGTTTCAGAGGACGAGGAGGCCTTCCCGCCCTCTGTCGTTCCCCAGATTACCGCTCACGCGGCTCTTCCTCAAGCCATCCTCCTGGAGGTGTGTGAACGAGCGGCCGCTCGTCTCAACATCGAATGGCCAGCACCTCAGAGCGCCACCGACCAGGAGAGGGATATTTATGATGGGAAAGTGTTGGGACCCCCTCCCGGCCCGAGGAAACAACTCTTCCCCATCCTCCCGGCGTGCGCTAAGCACATGAGGAACTATTGGAGCGATCCGCTCGACTTCAGACACGGTCTCACGGGACTCGAAGTTAAGGACATGGCAGCTCACGGTATGGGTGACCCCCCCGCCGTCGAGCCTTCTATCGCCAGGCACCTTAACCCCGCTCAGGGTGGGCTGCTCGCCCCCCCTAAGCCAGTCCTGCCCAACAAAATGGACCGTTTCGCTGCGTCCGTTCACCAGGCAGCGTATAAATCCTCGTCTGTGGCTGTCAGGGCCCTTAACGTTTCTTCGCTCCTCTCCGCCTACCAGGCGGAGATCCTCGAAGAATTAGGGCAACAGCTAGAAAAAGGTAATCCTTCCGAAATCCTTTGGAAGGAGATCCTCACGGTGAACGACCTCGTCCTCCGTAACGCCCGTCACGCTGTCCAAGCGTGCGGGCGCTCCATGGCGCTCTCCGTGGTGGGAGAGCGCGCGCTCTGGCTGAACCTGTCGGGACTCCCGGACAGCGAGAAGCGGCGCATCGCGGGCGCGCCGGTGGAGCCCGGCCGGGCTCTCTTCGGCCCCGCCGTCGCACTGATGCAACAACGGTGCGACGACAAGAAAAAGGAGGATGAGGCTTTCAAACTTTGCCTTCCGAGGAAGTCAGGTCCACGCCAGAATCCCCCTGTGCGTTCGCCTAACCCACCGGTCACGGGACGTCAGTTTCCCCAGGGCAAGGAAAAGTCCCGAAACAAACCGCCTTCACGACATCATAACCCAGCGCCCTCTAACAAACACTGGGTTAAGCCCGCTCCCGCCGCGGCCGCGGCTGGGAGACCTGCTAATTCCAACCCCACCGACCACTCGAAACGCAAGCGGCATGCCTGACGTTCAGTCGATGGGGACTTCCAGTCCACGTTCACGGGCCGCGAGCCCCTTGGACTCCTCTCTCCTTCTAGGACCCCCGTCCAAAAGACCCCGGGAGTCCCGCGGATGGGTCAGCTTGCCGCCTGTCGAGACTGCCCAGCCCGTGTGTTCAAGGAATGTGTGTTTTCCCCCCACGTTCAGGGGGCCTCTGGTGAGAGGAAGGTTAAGTTCAGTGTCAAAACCACACTGCCCTCACTCTGTTCCCCTCACTCTTTCAATAAAGGCTTCGGCCCCAGTGTTTGCCCAGCACAAAACACACAAAACACAAATAAAAACGAATCTAACAAATTCGTTTCGGAGGGAAAACCTCTCTCCGCAGAGAGAACCTTTCTCACTGCAGAGAGAGGAATCCCCTCCGAACCCCCGCATGTCGCCTCTAGTGTGCCCACGAGATGGCGCCATTGCATCACAAATAAATCTGTTGGTCTCAAGACACAGCTCCGCTCTGCCCCGAGCGGGGACACTCGCGAGCCACGAAGCGGCTTGGCGAACCGTTTCGGCTCCCGAGTGGGTTATGCGCACAATAATGCAGGGTTACAGATTGCAATTCGCAGTAAAACCCCCTCATTTCAACGGCATTCTCTTTTCTCACACGGAAGAGAAAGCCTCTCACATTCTGGAAGAGGAAATTTCATCTCTCTTAAACAAGGGAGCGATTCAGGTGGTACCCCCAATCTGATGAACCAGGGTTTTTATTCCCGGTATTTTCTGGTTCCAAAGAAAGGCGGCTCTCTCCGCCCTATCTTGGACCTTCGAGTGTTGAACAAACATTTGAGGAAATACAATTTCAGAATGCTGACACAGGGCGCACTCGCCCGTGCCATAAAACAGAACGACTGGTTCACATCAGTCGATCTGAAAGATGCTTTCTTTCACATAAGCATTTATCCTCCGCACAGGAAGTTTCTTCGTTTTGCCTACCAGGGCATATGTTACGAATTCACAGTTCTTCCGTTTGGACTCAGTTTGAGTCCCCGGTCTTTCTGTCTGTGCGCGGAGGCGGGCTTAACGCCTCTGAGAATAACAGGTCTGAGAATCCTGACTTACATAGACGATTGGCTCATCATAGCCGAATCGAAGGAGAAGGTGTTGCAGGACACCGGCCGTGTGCTCGCGCACATCACATCGCTCGGGTTCCAAGTGAACGTGGGCAAGAGCAATCTCACGCCCAGTCAGAATGTCATATTCCTGGGTTTGGAGTTGAACTCGGTTGCCATGCGAGCGCGTCTCTCTCTGGAGCGCGTTCGCTCTCTAATGAGCTGTCTGTCACAGTTCAGAGAAGGGGCGAAAGTGCAATATCGCACATGTCTCAGGATGCAGGGTCTCATGGCTTCATCCACCCAAGTTGTGCCATTAGGACTCCTGAGGATGAGGGCGTTCATGAAATGGGTTTTGTCGCTACATTTCAGCCCGATTCACGACCTTTGCCGCTCGGTTACAGTGACGCGCGCGTGCTCTGCAGCCCTGCGCCATTGGAAGAACGCAGACTTTTACGCACGGGGAACCCCTCTCGGGGCGGTTACGATGCGGAAAGTGGTGACGACAGATGCATCCTTAACAGGCTGGGGTGCCACCCAGGAGGGCAGAACGGTGAACGGTCTGTGGCCAAACAGACTACGTTCAGCACATATAAATTATTTAGAGCTTTTGACCATTTGGAAAGCTCTGAATCATTTTCTGCCTCGCCTGCAGGGACATCACGTGCTGGTACGGTGCGACAATACCACGGCTGTGGCATATATCAACCGTCAGGGCGGCTTGCGCTCGTCGAAACTTCACCTTCTAGCTCACAAGCTCTTGGTGTGGAGCAGACGGGTTTTCTTGTCGCTACGCGCGACTCACGTCCCAGGCATTCTGAACATCGGCGCAGATCTGCTGTCGAGGGGAAACCCAATCTACGGGGATTGGCGTCTCCATCCGCAGATAGTGGAAATGCTATGGATGAGATTCGGACGGGCGAGCGTAGATCTATTCGCCTCGCGCGAAAACTGCCATTGTCCTATGTTCTTCTCTCTAAGGGACATGGACGCGCCCCTCGGGGTAGACGCACTGGCCCACCCATGGCCGAGAGTGCTCCTGTATGCTTTTCCTCCCCTGTGCCTGATAATTCCCACATTGGCCAGGGTGAGAGAGCAGGGCCTGTCTCTCATTCTGATAGCACCCAGATGGCCCAAAGCACCGTGGCTGGCGGAGATAATCCCTCTGTTATACGCCGAGCCATTGTGCCTTCCCGTTCGCACGGATCTATTATCCCAAGCCAACGGGGAGATTTACCACCCCCACCCGGACAGGGTGGCTCTCTGGGCCTGGCCCGTGAGAGGACGAACCTGAACGCACTTGGGCTTTCGCCGCGTGTGGTCACCACTATTCAGAATGCCAGGGCCGTCTCGACACGGTCCTTATATGGCTGTAAGTGGCAAGTGTTCGAGGGGTGGTGTGATGGGCGCGGTATCACATCTTATCAGTGTTCAGTTCCTGATATTTTGTGTTTCCTTCAAGACCTCATGGATAAAGGCAGGTCTTTTTCCACCATTAAGGTCTACTTGGCTGCTATTTCAGCCTGTCATGTGGGTTTTGAGGGCTCGACCGTCGGTCAGCACCCTCTAATCCGCAGATTTATGAAGGGTGCACGCCGCTCTTTGCCAGTCGTCAGGAGAACTGTCCCGGAGTGGGACCTCTCCATGGTGCTGGAAGCTCTGTCTCAACACCCTTTTGAGCCTTTGGATAGTATATCCCTTAAGCTGCTATCTCTCAAGACAGCTTTGCTTTTGGCCTTGGCATCTGCTAAACGTGTCAGTGAGCTACATGCACTCTCGGTTCATCCCTCGTGCTCTAAGTTCTCTCTTAGTGGAGATAAGGTCTTCCTTAAGCCTAACCCGGCCTTCATGCCGAAGTGCTTCCCTGCATTCACTTCGGAGGTGTTGGAGCTGTCCGCTTTTCACCCTCCACCTTTTACCTCTCTAGAGGATCAGAGGCTGAACGCTCTGTGTCCAGTCCGTGCCTTACAGGCATATATGACGAGGACGAATGCTTTCCGGAAGAGCGACCAGCTCTTTGTTTCATGGGCTCCCCCTCACTTAGGGAGTCCAATTTCGAAGCAACGCCTCTCACATTGGGTTGTGGATGCTATTACCATGGCTTACAAAGCAAAGGGAGTGCAGCCCCCTAGGGGCATCAGAGCTCATTCCACAAGAGGTTTAGCCACCTCTTGGGCTCTGTTTAGGGGAGTGTCACTGCAGGACATCTGCTCCGCTGCCAGTTGGGCTTCTCCTCATACCTTCGTGCGCTACTACCGGCTGGATGTCACCAGTACCTCGGTAGCACATTCGGTTCTAGGGGTGGGGTCGTCTTAGCCCCTCCCTGTAACCCTGTTGGTATATATAACCATTAGGAGTGAATGGGCTGACTGGCCATGTTCATTCCTGTCACCAATCACCAATCACTCCCCCTTTCGGGTATAGATTATGTCTTGGTGGGTTGGGGTTACTATCTCGCATGTGTCCCATGCGTATTTCATGTCCTGCTTGTCCACATTAGTTAGGTGTGGTTTCACCTTCGCAGGCTCATGATTAAGGGACGTGTCAGGCACCGCCTCCCCGAGGTGACCGTCCTTCTCTGGCTCCAGAACCTCACTGTGAGTGTATTGGGCAATCGGGGAGCTGTCCATGTCTCTCCCATAGGTGGATCTCGAACACGAGATGATGAAAGAGAACAATAGGTTACTATCGTAACCCCGGTTCTCTGAAACATCGAGTGGAGAGATCCACCAGCTTTGCCCCGCTTGCCGCACGAGAAGCGAATATACTTACTGAGGAATAGCAGCGCGCCCAGATGTTATATGCCCGTGGGTGAGGGGTGTGGCCTCATCGGGCATTGGCCGCGCGCTTCTGTCTGTCTAGCCAGACTTGGTGCAATTGGATGCTTCTGCAGAGGTCAGGTACGGATGCCCTTCCCATAGGTGGATCTCTCCACTCGATGTTTCAGAGAACCGGGGTTACGATAGTAACCTATTGTTTTCCACAAAAGAAAGAAAGGGTTTGGAACAACATAAGGGAAAGTAAAAGACAGAATTTTCATTTTTGGCTGAACTATTCCTTTAAGCCACAGGCACATATGAAATTAGACAAACATACAAATCCCACACATAAACAATCGTGCATGCTCACACACATACTCAAGGGAGTTATGTAATGAATGGGATGCTCTGAGGCACAGGTGCTGCTCCACTTTTGAAATACACTCTCGTTAAATAGCTCTTGGGCTGCCCTCTGTGCCGCTTCCCTCTCCTGTGCAATTGACCAGATACAGAGAGAAAGAACAAGACAGTTAGAGGCAGACAAATATGCTTTGAGAAAAAATTAAACCCTTATTTGCCCCTACACCTGTACTATGTTGCGTTGTTGTCTTTTGTTTTACACTGGTTTTTCATTTTTATGAGCTTTAGCTCAGATTCAAAGCCAACCTAAATACTGTATCTACCACTAGGTGGAGCTATTATAATTCAATTTGCTGCGATTTCATGTAATACTTATGTGCCACCTATCGGTGAATAATGTGAATTACAACAAGTATTTAAATTTTTAGATTGTGGATAACTATAACTTATTATTAAAAGCAATATGTTAAAAGCAATATGCAATATGCCAGAATAGTTACATAGTAAACAAGTCTTTTAAATATTAAATGATTATTCAAAACTTTTGAATCATCTTTATTTCCATAAAACAAGAAAATTAATGCTTAATGCTACAAAAATGCAATTTCAAGGTGAGACTTTAAAATAATATAGATTTTAAGGAGGGCAACCCAGGTGTTCTCAGGTTTCACTACCACCTACAGATATCACACACATTATATAAGCAGAAAAGGCCCGATGTTGCTTGCAGTTTTCAGAGTGCATGCATATAAGTACGAGCAGTATGGTTAAAAAGGACCACATTAAGGACTCATGTGGCTCCAACAGAGTTAGGAAACTTGAGAAGTGTGCGTCATTTGATTTTTTTTTTTTTTTTCATCTCAGCTTACAGAAAACAAAGCAGTTACAGGGCAGTGAAAAAAAAATGTGTCATTTGCACAAAATGGTTTCTTAAGAGCAATATTATTTCATAATTGTGGCTCCCTTAAGTTATTTGTGTTGATTTTTAAAGAATTTTTTAAAGAATTTTATCTAATAAGCAGACATACAATAAAATAATTGCTATGTCCATAGTTTGACTTTGGAAGCCTTTTCCCCATATAAATGCAATAAATATTTAGATTTACAGATTTTAATCTGTGATGACATGACACAACGGTTCATGTTTGTACAGACAAAATGCATTGAGTAATGGGGAATAAAACATTGCAGTCAAGTTAAAAAATAATGTCCCATTCCATTGTCTGCACTCATAGCCTTGTGGGCAGCTTTGGTGACCCGAGTTTGCGTTCTGGCTTGTGGTCGTGTCATGATTTTGGTTCTTTCCTCTCTTTTTTGAGTATTTGTCGCCATCTTCTGGCCTCTTTTGCTCTTGTTTCTACACCTTTTCTCTTTGCGCTCTTCATTAAAGGAGCATTTCACCCATTTCAACATTAATCTTTATTGAAAGTGGATATATGTAGTTGAAATGTAAAAGAATTTTTGAATTTGATGCTCCTTGACCGAGAAAAGACAGAAAATAACCGCTTTTGTATGTAAGACAACTCCCACAATGCACCACATTGCACAACTCCACAAGTCACACCCACAAATTCGGAACTGCGCACACATCAGAGAAAATCACTCTTCCGTCTACAAGGCTAATGTTAGCTGTCACCAGAGTTTGAAATTCATTTCACACAAAATTTCTAGTTAGTTGGCTGGGTGAGCAGGGCGATCAAGGACGTAAGAGGACGGCGCGAGGCCGGTGGCTGAGTGATAATGAAAGACACTTGTGAGGCACGTGCCAGTCTCACGTCTCTCACGGAGGAGCGAAAGCATAAAATGAGGAGCGACGACGGCAGATCGAGAGAAACTTTATTTTATGATGTTTTTTGTTTCTGTTGTGTGTAACGTTACAGCAGTCGTCAATGAGGGGCTTATACTTTCATTTTGTATTTGTTCATTTTACTATTATGTTTAATTGTTCACCGGTTCCGCATCCTTCTTCCCACAACAACAAACCCTGTTAATTTTACATTGGCAAACTCATAAGTGAATTACTCCTCGTTTGTATTTATTTTTATATGGTGAATTAAAACATGATACCTGGATGCAGTGCCGCTGCTAGCCATTTTGGTGCCCTAAGCATAATTCCTTTATGATACCCCCCCCCCCCTTCCCCTCCCCTCCTGCTCCTCCTCCTCTTCCTCCTCCCTCCCCCCTCCCTAAAAAAAAAAAAAAAAAAAAAAAAAACATTTTCATTTAAGAGTTTCATTTAGGGGTATGATTTATAAAAAAAAAAAAAATCAAAAATCAAAAAGTTACACTTTAGTTTAGGGTCTAATGCTTACTATTAACTAGTTTCATTACCTGATTGTTTTCATGGTTTTATAATCACTATGGTCCCGAATTTCAGGCAGGCCGGTTAGGGGGTTCGGGGTTTCCCCGAGAAAATTTTGGATTTCTCTGAACTACAGATGTGCATTTTAAGGTGTTGTAAAGGCAAAAAAATTTTTTTTAAAAAATCAATAACAGCTTTAAAACCATGTCAGTGGGCAGCTGATTATTTTTCTCTCCTCATCAGCATCACACTCTTTTTCTCTTTGTTTTTATCTTGCCCTGTCTCTTCCCCTCCTAAAGTTGGCTTTTTTTAATTTACTAAAGGCTACAATTTGTATTTTATTCTCAATATGTACACACACATTCATTATTAATCCTGTGCCTAACATGATGAAAAAGACTTTGTTCATGTTTCTTGTCCCCTCACAATGACAGTAGCCTAAACTTTTACTCTAGGCTACATGTTACATAGGCCTATTTTCAGTTCAAAATGGCGAAATTAGACAAAACTATATTAGTTTGCCTAATTATTTTTTGTCATTCCTTTAACATTTATGACCAAAAAAAACCTGTCATATACATACTTACATCTTATCTCGCACTTGACCGTACACTGAAGCGTCGAGTTGCACTGTTAAAATTCGCGCTCAGTGTCTGTGAACATAAAGCCCGCCTACTTTGATTTGATTGGTCATCTCAAATATTCTGACATTGACGAGCGGTGACAGACCAATGAGGCTCTGAACACACAGACACCCTGTCAGCTGTTTCTGACATGCTCTCTGCTCGACGCCGCTGTGGATTGAAGATGAAGAACGAATCGGTTACCTAACGTAACCTCGGTTCTCTCTAGATGAGGGAACGAGTATTGCGTAAGCTAGCTTACGCTACGGGAAAGATTCATCTTTGCAGTCTCTTCTGAGGCAGACCATGAGCGGGCTAGCTAGCGGCTCATTGGTTCGCTCAGGGAGAATGCACGAACCTATGGGAGAGCGGCGCTGAGTCCGCGCCCAATGAGCGGACGGCGCTCGCTCACTGCGTCAGAGCCCGCCAAAAGGGGCGTGGCTACAGTGTATAAAGGTAGCTCTCCCAGGCTCGTTCGTCGATTCTGACAGCATGAAGCGAAACGCTGGTGGCGCAAGCACGGCCGGGAACGCAATACTCGTTCCCTCATCTAGAGAGAACCGAGGTTACGTTAGGTAACCGATTCGTTCTCTTACGAGAGGTTCTCTCGTATTGCGTAAGCTAGCTTACGCTACGGGAACACCTGGTCAACGCCGTGCACGCTATGTAACCACTAAGCATCCCAGGGGGGTGAAACCGGGGGAATCTTAAGTGGACGAAGATAATATAGCGGCCAGCATAGCGGCCGTTATCATCTAGTGCAAAAACGCCCTAAGGCGGCCGGCGTAGCGGGCCGTGAACGTATAATGCATAAGCACATAGGGGAACACAAGGGGTGAGCCGGTTGTGATGGAACTCCTGATAGTGCGGCTTTCTATAGGAGAGCTGTATAGTACTAGACCGCCAGAATTTTAGCCTGTAAGGCGGAAACTTCCAAGTTATAAAATCTGACAAAAGTGGAGGGGGAGGCCCATCCCGCAGCCACACAAATGTCGTGAATGGAAATTCCGCAGGACCATGCCCACGATGAGGCCATGCCTCTGATGGAATGAGCCCTGATGCCCAGAGGGCAAGGCAGGTCTTTAGAGGCATAAGCAGAGTCAATCGCGTCTACTATCCACCTGGATAGAGTCTGTTTCGAGGCGGCTAATCCCTTGGTGCGGCCACCGAACGACACAAACAGCTGCTCTGAGCGTCTGAACGCAGCAACGCGTGTAGTGTACACTCTGAGAGCCCGAACCGGGCAGAGGCGATCAGCGTCACGTTCGCTATCGGATGCAGGCAGCGCCGATAGAGAGATCACTTGCGCCCTGAAAAGGGGTACCAATCGCTTTCGGAACATAACCGTGTCTAGGTTTCAGAATGACGATGGAGTCATTCGGTCCAAACTCAAGGCACGCGGTGCTCGAAGACAGCGCGTGAATGTCCCCCACACGTTTTACTGAGGCGAGTGCCGCCAGAAGAACGGTTTTTAGCGAGAGGTATTTTAGCTCCACGGACTCGAGTGGTTCAAACGGTGGGGCTTTCAAAGCTTCTAGAACTATAGAAAGATCCCAGACCGCCACTGTGGGGGGGCGAGGGGGGTTCATCCTTCTGGCTCCCCTGAGGAAGCGGATGATTAGCTCGTCTTTGCCCAAAGACTGGGCGCGCCGGGGTTCAACGAACGCCGCGACGGCTGCCACGTAAACCTTAAGAGTGGATGGGGACCTGCCCTTATCCAGCATCTCCTGAAGGAACACGAGCAAAGACGAAACCTCGCACGTCCGTGGGTCCAAATTTTTGTCGGTGCACCATTTAGAGAACACATTTTGTGTTCTCACATTTTTGTGACCATTTTGCAGCATAGAGCTTTCTGGTAGATTCCGCTCTGGCGTGTTTGATCGTGTTCAGAACCCCTTCTGGCAATTCGACGCGTAGTCGTTGGT